AATTTAAAATTTATTTATTTATATATTTCCCTCTACCCCACAATCAGTACATCACCAATCTCGCAACCTTGCCAAGTAAACTTTACAAACTATATTACATCATGTAACGACGTTAACGACGTCTGGAGACAGGTAGAGAACCCCTAAGATTCGACAATTGAGTTTGGCTTTCCGTTTAGTTTTCACTTCCAACGGTATCCAACTCCATAAATCCTTAATTTTATGTTCCTTCTTCCATCTCTTTTTTCACATTTTTTCGCTGTTTTATGTCTGATCGTAAATTAAAGTGTCTCTGGTCTTTTTTACCTTTACAAGTTTAAATGAAACCGTTCTACAGCCGATGGGAAGAGTTTAAAAAAAATTTATATTTTTCAAACTCTATCAAAAAAGTTTAATTAAGTACTGCAGGCTAAATGATAATGAAATATACTGAAACAGTTTATTATTTATTTTATTTTTTAAATAATACCTATACTAATAACTGCTTCATTCTTATAAGATCATTCTTTTTACTTAAAAAAAAATAGTTTCTGAGATTTTACATTTTACCTACCCCCATACCAGACTGAAACGACTAGAAACCGCCCGACGTTTTCGACAACTGCAGCACTTACTAGACAAACGCTCTAAGCTTTCAATCAATTACAAACGACTCATATATATGACAATAATAAGACCTATTTGGACTTACGTCCAATCCAAAATCCTTCGTAAAATCCTCAACGCTCCTTACTTTGTCACAAATAAAATCATCCATAAAGACCTTAATGTTCCATATGTTTCCGATTTGGACCAATCCAGATACCTTTCCTTATATAACAAACTGCAGAACCATCCGAATCCTCTCGTTTCAAACATTGCTTCCTCCTCGATCCCTGATAACCCTCCGAGGCGTCTGAAAAGAAGATGGCCTCGGGACCTTCTAATATAGAACTTTAATTTGAGTTTTACCAATGGGTAGTTTCTCTTCATGTTGTACATGTCATGTTACCAATGTCACATTTATTTATTGTATTTTCTATGTAATACAGTTGTAAATTTCATTAAAATAAAAAAAAAAAAAAACATTTTACCTACATATTTTTATTCTTATTTTTTTCAATTCCTACGTACTTCTCAAGAAACTTGCATTTCTATTACTCTACTATTAATGAAAGTCATTTGCGAATCCAAGACACCCTTGATGTAAAAGTTAGGCAGAGTTGATGGGAGGATTTGGGGTTTAATTTAAAATAAAACTTGAATATTTATGAGTAATATCCTGATTCTCTCGTATTATTAATGAAAGATTTGATATAAGGTGAGTATGGAATATATAATGAAATATTACCTATTTCATATTCAAGATTAATACCGTAATTTTTTCTCTTTTTTTATTATTGTTGTATTTTGGCCAGATGTAGTCTTTTAATTGTGTTCTATTTTGTTATTCTAAAGGGACTTTGTCCCAGAATAAAGTTATTTTATATTTAAAAAAAATCTATTATTATTAGTTTTACCCAAATAAATAATGAATATTGTACAGTTGAATACAGCGATAATTAAAACTCTGATCCACACCCCTACATCTACGTATAACCTTTTTTCTTGTTGTTTACTAATATTTCATAAATTAAACTTCTTTACTACCAGCTATAGTTATTGTTCATTATATTTATTTGTTAGTGAGACTTGATTATAATGTATAATAAAGCTTCAACCTTGATTGAGGAGAAGCTTTGTATTCGTTCCGGAGATTAAACATCTGCTTTTAAAATCTCCACTCGTGTATTACGTTTTAAATGCCAAGGATTGGTTCCAAACATTGGTTCCATGTTTATTGGTCTGTCAGTAATCAAATTCATTTGACGTGCATATCGTATGCGGTTAATTGCATTTGATGATATTAAAAAATAATTTTCATGTTTGCCACCTAAATAGTCTAATACGTATTTTATTAAATTCATTCCATTTTTATCAATTCTCGTTATTTCCTTGACAAAACTAAACTTCAACAAAGGCTTCTCTCTTCTCAATTCGACAGGTGTTGGCGAGTACCTCAAGGATTAATACTGGCTTCTTTACTCTACATTATATGAGGTACCTATTAACTGCGAATCCACCACCTAAACTATGATACAATAATTTTATCAAAACACCATAACTCCAGACTAGCCTCAATGAATTTAAAAAATCACTTTCTGAATTTAAAAAATTGATACTACTCGGACACAACAGACTTATAAACAACATGACCACGGCTGACAGGCCCATCAGAATACGAATAAAGAGGAGCTAAGAGAGATCACTTTTCCTCAATCAACGAAGTAAACAATGGACTGTAAGAGGTGCTGCTGGGTGCTATCATTCTCCATGCATGTAATGCTAATTATTTAATTTAAAACAATAAATCTGACTCTTGTCACTACCAATAAATAATTTAAGTAAAAAAAATATAATCTATAATATAAATATATTATATATATAATCTAGACATTTGAATATTCCTTTATTGCCCGATCCACTGCCTTCTGGAATATCTTGCCATCTGATATCCGCCATGCCTCTTCTCTGTCCTCATTCAAATATCATCTCTACCAATTCCTTCCCACACCCCAAAATGACGTTTTACAATGAAATAAATATTGTGAAACAAATTTTGAATGAGGTGAATGGTTGTTGAAATTGTTCGAGTTATAATTTTAAAAATCAACCCATGCATATATTATTTTGTTTTTTATTTTACCTGATTTCTTTTCATTTAAATAATGTTTTTTTTTTTTTCAAAATGGTGTTACTTTTTATTTGTTTCAATATATTTTCACTGAAGATACTGTATGTATTCTTTAATGTTAATTAATGTAATTTTTGGCCAGATGTGGTTTTTAATTGTTAATCATAAGGAACCTCGTCCCATAATAAAGTTTATTTTCTATCTATCTATCTATATCAATATAATATAAAAATATAAAAAAGTATATATATATATATATATATATATATATATATATATATATATATATATATATATAAATATAATATTATATATAATATTATACAATAAGTTATCCGAAAACAATTTATCCGAACAACTTTTCTGCTTATTTTTTCTTATTGTTTGATTTTTGTCAGTTAGAACTTGAATTTAATTTTGATGAAAGATCGTTAAGAGGCTGGGATTCATAGACGAAAATAAATGGAATCTTTGATAGTTGAGTTACCTCCGAGGAAGGGGGTTAAGGTGCAGTAACACACAAGTAAAACCACAAAAAAAACAAAAAAACATTTCTGTATAAATTACTGAAAATAAAAGATAAAAATCGCCTTTCATTTGAGATAAGGTGTATTATCACTTAAATGTTCCTTGAATGATTTAATGAAATTTAGGAGACAGGCTTGCAGCGACAAATTACCCGTAAACAAGGACAAGCAGACCAGCTCTGTTTGAAAGCCCCTTTGACAAAAACAAACGGAAAGCAGCCGACTCCAAGTTGTCGTTATGCTAAGCAACCTCTAACTTTGTCATACTATTACAATACAGGCCTCTGCAAATGCTTTCATAAGGTTATATCCAACCCTCCTCTCCATCCTTCCCTCACCCTCCACCATTTCACTTTCCCCTTATTGAATTTTTATTGATATTTATGCAGACTACCTAAAGTCTTGGGAGAAAAAAAAAACAACCATCAACAACAGCCATCAACATCCGAAGGCATTTATCTGGATTTATTTTATACTTTCTTTGCCTGGGTTATAGCCGACGTTTCTTTCAAATGTTTACACCTCTTATATTTATATGTGGCTCAGTTTTTCTTAACGATTTATAATAACTGCTTTATTTCTTACGAAATAGGGCTATTCCAAAACATAACAAATGATGGTATGAATGTATTTTCCAAGAAGGAAATGTGCTTGGATTTATTACGTATTTTTACATTTAAATTTACCATGTAACTCATCCTTTCGTTGTTTGATTTTAAGAAATTTGATTTTAAATACATATATCAAAAAATAAAAATAAAATTAATATTAGATTATGTCAATAAAAATGACATGTTCGTGAGAGTACAGCAAATACTAAAAAATTATATCTGATTTTGATAATTTGAGTTGTTAATAGTTAAAGACTAAACTAAGCGTCGCGTTCATACTTTCAGGTTATTAAAAATATCGTGAAACTAGCAAGATGAAGCATAAACGAATGTTGAGAAAATATTTAAAACATTTCTTTGCTCAAAAAATATACAATATGAGAGTAATATAACATGAAAATGGAGAGGTTCGTATCAGAACGGAATGTAATACACATAATAGTATTATGTGCAAAACACAAATGGACTGGGACACTTAATCATATTCTGACAAGGGGTAGAACAAATCAGCTTAGATATAAGTGACAACAAGACAAAATACCTTAACCAAATAAGCGTTTTGCTCCTTTTGAATTAATAGCACTAAAAGAAAAATGTTTCTGAAGGTTGGAAAATTTCAGTAACTCTTCTTAAAATAACTTCAACAAACGGCCGACCTTCTGAGATAAACTAGCAACGAAAATAGAAATGGGAACCAACATCCCTCAGAAATATTTTAATCATAAAATTCTTTAAAAAATATTCTGAGAGGTCTACAGTCACGTAAATAAAATCATTACCAACCGAACATTTAATTAATTATATTTTAATGATTACAATTATTTTTATATAATGTTATATTAATAATTGTTACGTATGTTTTTCAATTATAAATTCGTAATCGAAAAAAACTTTTTCATAATAACTTGCTGTGTATTAAACATAGCAAATAAACTTTTAAACTTAATCACAGGCGGCGAAAACGAAGACAAAGAAAAAATTAAAAGATGCCAACATCAAAGAGACCTTTTAAGATATCTTTACGTACCTACCCAGTCCTGTCATAAATATTGTTAAAAGAAAATATATACAGATTTCAACAATAAAATTAATTTTTTTAAAAACTTTATTAGAAAATTAAATGTATATATAGAGATTAAAACAAAAAAGAAATTAATTAAAATAGCTCCCTTTTGCATTGACCCAAGCATTTAATCTCCGCGGCCAGTCATCAATAGCAGCACTTCTTGAGAAAAGCGCTAAACTGCTCGAACCAGAGAGTGTTTGAGGCTTTCCAAGTTAGGATGTGCTCTGTGGCATGCCATCCTATCCAATTCGGACCAAAGCCGATAATGTAGTAGGTTGAGATCAGGACTTCCTCAGGGCCAATCTGAGGCAGAGATGAACTCTGGAATGTTCTTTTGCTGCGACTGCTGAGTGGGCCCGGCCTTGTGAGCTGGAGCGGAATCCTGCTGGAAAACCCAATGACAGACAGAGTATCATTTAGAGGCTTGACAACATGTTCCAAAATATCGGCCTGATAGTTTTTAGCAACTATTTTAACTCCTTTTTTACAAAAATGGAGCTTTGTGGTCAATTAATCAATTAAAACTCCCCACCAACCATCACTGATGAGGGCGATGACGATGATGAAGGGGCTTTCCACTCTTCCAATGACTTCCAGGGCTTCCATAGGGCTAACAATTTTCTCATCGCTAAACAAAATCTTCCGATGAAGACCATTGGTGTAACGGCACTTTGCATCTATCCACACTTTTTTTTTTTGGAAGTAATTAGCCTTAATCCTGTCAGTCTTCGAAATGCACCAATCCTAAGGTCACTTTTTATTATGCGAGACATTGATCTGACAGAGATTCTCATTTCCCGAGACATATAATTTGAACATTAAACTTTAGACGTAATTTGTACATATACTTTATTGAACACATGAATAAGTTAAGTTACTGAATAATGTTCTTTTTAATTCTGCCATCTATTTATATCATGATGATTACAGGTAATGTTAGTAATTAGAATTATATGTAAAAAAACAAAAACATATTGCAAAAATCAGACTTCTTTGTCTGTAACAAGTTTTCCCTTGGTGGCCCACTTTAGCAATTTCGTTTTATACATGTCTAAACCCATATATAAAAGTTTAAAAAATAAAAACTTTTTCCACATTTTTTGCTATGGGTTTCCCTTTTTGATCCACAAATTATTGGCCTAATATTCTTTAGATCAGCCGCCATTTTTTAATGAATCGGCTCTTTAGCAGAAACAGCATCGAAAGTTCTTTTAACTTAAAATAACAAACACTTTCGTAGTTTACAATCAAATCTTCGCCTGCGATCAGGTCGATATTTGGGCCCTGGCTCTTGGGCTAAATGATATTATTTTTGAAAATAATAACCGAAAATGCAAAAAACTTTAAAATTAATGTAAAAATAGGAACATTGATGTACTTCTTCGGTTAACATAAAAGAATCGATTTAGATTATTTAAGTAATAATAATTGAAACTTAGAAAGTTTTTCAATTAAAATAGAAAAGTGCTTTGATGGAGAAAATTAAATTAGCATTTTAAAAAGTATTTGTTTAATTTCATTTTAGAAGGAAAAGGCACAACTCGGAGAGAATTTCATCTCGTTCTATTAGAGCTCGTTAAAAGTCTCAATTAACTTGAGAACTAATTCATATGTCAATATCGTTTCTAATCTAATTAACTCTAAAATGAGTATGGTTTTACCTGAAGGAGTTAAACTAATTGTTGCCCTCAGTTGAGGAATACAGTTATACCGTTTAACTCAGATTATGTGGTTAGCATCAGGTTTAATTAGATTACTGTTTGCTCCTATATTAAATTACAAAGGTCCTTTATACAAATGTTACTCGAGATATTAGTTAATAAATTAATTTATCATATTAAATGATTTATTACAAATTTTAATTTCTTCTCCATAAGTTTAGCACAAATTAAATGAATGAAACACTTGTAATTTATTTATTTATTTTTTCTACGTTTCGGAGATACTTTTTTCCTTAATGCCCATGGGATGACGAAATGTTGAAATTTAATGTTACCTTAGTTCTATTCAACCAATACTCGGTAATATTAGACGATAAAGAATAGTCAAAGCATTCCCAAAATGTACAAAGAGTAAACAATATAAATTGCAAATGCTTTTTAAATTTGACCTAAAGGGAAGATCAAGGCGAAGAAAGAAAAAACAAATAACAAATGTAAAGCATGAAAAAAAATAGTAGTGTTTTAAATCTATAATTAACTTAAAGCCAACTTTAGCAAAAGTGGAATTTGTCTTATTTATTCAATAAATATAGATATTTTATATAATTATTCCATTTACATTTATTCAATAAGTCATGATTAAATTAAGTTTGTTACTTTTTATATATATTTTTTTTCCTTTGAAGATTAATACATTCTGCCGCATTGGAGGGCATTAATATTAGGGCTACATTAAAAATTCACACAATATATACATACAAATAATAACTAAAATAGAGATAAAAGAAAAAGAGTTGTAGAAAGTAAAATAAGAAAATTAATATACGTAGGTGAACAAAAGAAAAAAAAAAAAAAAAAGAGAGAAACTAAATGAAATTGAAATATATAAAACACATTCACACCTATATATTTACATTCGCCCGGGGGATTCCGACTCACGCTTTGTCCCCCAAATGTGGAAGCCAAGGCAGGACCCCAGGAGATCCCAGTGCTCTCTCCCAGCCACGTCACTGTTATTGCGAGCCAGTGGAGATGGAGGGCACTAGAGCAACTTTGTTTATTAACATTTAATATAACTGGCTAGTATGAACGTGGGAAAGTATTGTAATGTAACTGATACTATATATTAGTAAAATCCTATTACGACTAGCGTATAGATCAATACATTACAATAAATTAAATTATTCATAAATAATAATAAATACATTTTACGATTAATATTAAATATTATTAATTTTCCCCTTTTTTGAAGATGAGTCTGCAGGCATGTTAGGATGTTTCACGAAAACTATTTTCTCTGAATTAAAAGTTTCAAATCAATAAAATTATTAAACTACGTTCACGAAATTACTATTTTATGTTATATGTTTTAATATTAGAGTCTAAAATTAATTGGCTGTTTTTTTTATCTGATTGTAAAATAATGTTCAGAACCATCAATGTAAACAGAGCATGGAATCAAGCTTCATTTAGAATACCATTTTCGAAATTCACCGTGTATCTAATTTGTAATATTTTTTTAATACTCTTTTTATCTTTTGAAAGGCAGATTTGGAGATCGCCCGCATATAAATGGTGTTGTGAGTGATGAATAGAATCAGAAAGGTCATTAATAAAGGTGGAGAAAAGAGTCAGGGAGAGCGAAGATCCCTGAGGAACACCACGAGTAAGTAAGAGGAGGGGGGAGGAGTTTTATTGGGAACGATGACTGTTTGGGATCTTTGATACAAGAAAGAATGAAACCACTTTAGAGCAGTATTTGATATGGAAAGGTTTTGGAGTTTGGTAAGGAGGATTTCGTGATTTACGGAATCGAAAGGCTTTGAAAATTCGAAGAGGACTAGGATCGAAATTTTCTGTTCGTCTAAAGAGAAATGAAGGTCCTGGGAAATTTTCAGCAATGTGGATTGGGTGGATAACTGGGATCAGAAACCAGACTTTATAGTTACTAATTTAGTTTATTCGTTAGTGAAAACATATTTCTGATGTCTTGAACCGATAAGAGTAGAGAATCGTAAATTAATTTAAAATACGATAAATTATATTTTATTGGCTTAACAACGTCAACTGGTTTCAAATAACAGTGACGCGGCTGAAAGAGAAGAACTGGGATCTCCTGGAGTCCTACCTTGGTTTCCAATCGGGAGATAAGGCATGACTCAGAGTCCCCTGGGTAAATATTGTACATAGGTGTGAATTTGATTTATTTACTTTAATTTCATTTAGCTCTTATGTATTATTTCATATTTTTGTACACAGGCATATCAATTTACTTATTTTATTTTTTTTTATATTTCCTTTTCCTTATTATTGAAATAGTATGTACATATTGTGTGAATAAATCATGTAGCCTAATTATAATTGCCCTTCAATGTGGCAGAATGTATTAATATTCAATAAAGAAAATAAAAAAAATAAAAAAAAACACAACGTCAAATATAGTCTAGTTCAAATTTTAGGCCGTAAACAAAAAATGAGAATACCATTTAAATAAAAAAAGTTTAAAATACAATTTAACTGTTGCGTACTAAGCAGATCCTTGATTCATGGTAAATTCATAATTATCCAACAGATTGAATACTCTCTCTCTCTCTCTCTCTCTCTCTCTCTCTCTCTCTCTATATATATATATATATATATATATATATATATATATATATATATATATATATATAGATAGATAGATAGCTAGATAGAAAAATAACATTATTCTGGGACACAGTCCCTTGAGAATAACAAAACAGAAAAAAATTAAAAGATTACATCTGGCAAAAATAAAATCAATCGAAAAAAATAAATAATGTAAAGGAAATATAAGGTAAACATTCTATATACAAAACAAACGAAACTATATACAAAACAATTAATACTATGACAAGACACTTAAAGCTATTTGCACTGATAGACCAGTATACACTTTTAAGAAAATAATAAAGAATTAATAATAAAAATATATCAAATTCTCTATCAAAATCAGCTCGAATGGTTAGCAACTATCTGACTATTTTTGGGATAGAAATTGGAATAGGAGGGTTTTGAATGTGGATATGGATGGGGAATGTCGAATTTTGATAGGGAGGGAATTCCAGAAATTGACAGAGCGAACGATAAAGGAATTTTGGAATGAGGCAGATCTGTGAGACGGCATGTAAATGTTAGAAGGTCGAGATCTTGTGGACAGGGAATGGACTGAGGATTTGAACTGGAGAAGGTTATAGGCGTAAGAAGGACGATTGATGATTTGGTAGAGGAACGTACATATTGTCTTCGGAAGGAGGGGAAAAACCACTTTAACTCAGTGCAGCGGTGAGAAACATGAGAGTATCTTGGGGCCCCGAGATCACAAATCTTATGCAGCTGTTCATTAAATATATATATTTTTTTTCTTTTTTTGCAGCTTTATTTTCATAGGTCTTCAATATTTTTGTAATTATTATTTTCATTTATTATTTGATTACTCATTATTATTTCAATTTCATTGTAATTATAAATATATCCTGGCTTAATGACCGCAACATAACTGGTGAATATTTAGTTAGGCTAGCTTACCCCTGCATACTCCAACGGTCTCGAGTGCACCGCTGTAGTGGCAATTGAGGCCGGAGCCACAAGGGGACCTCGCCCCACATGCTTCACCCTCCGTGCCTCCGATATCCTCCAGCATCTGCAACATCATAACCTCGTATCAATACTCAATATGCTAATATATTATGTAACTAATTACACAAACGCTGTTCAATTAAACATGTAAATAAAAATTAAAGTAAAATACTTTTTAATATTTGAAAATCTTAGTTCCTATATGTAAAGAATTGGTAGAACCAATATATTTTTGCTCAATATATTTAGCTCTTCCATTTTTTCATTAGGGGTTTAGCTAGGTTTCAGCAATATGAAAAAAATGACATTAATATCTCTATAATATGTAGTGGTAGCATTTTTTAAAATGTTATTAAATTTCCGGAAAAAAATATTAAAAAATCGGTTTTTGTGACTTTACTGTTTATTGAATTTAAGAAACTGATTTTAATAATTCACTCGCCTGTTTACATTACTTTGGTTCATCAAACAAATCGTACTCTAATGATTTCTCTAGTAGGTTATTAGCCCCCACTGGCTTCTAATACTAGTGATGCGGCTGGAAAAGTGACACTGGGATCTCTGGAGTCCTGCTTTGCCTTCCACATGTGGGGAGAAAAGCCTGGCTCGGAGATTCCTGGGCGGATGCATATATTGTATATAGGTATGAATGTGTTTAGAAGTTTTTATTTTATTTTGTTTGTTTATTTTTTTTCCCCATTGATTTACATTTTTTTTATCAGTATTATTTATTTACTTTTTATATTTATAGTTGTTTCTTTATTATTTGTATATACTGTATGAATAAGAACTTCTAGCCTTAATACTTATAGACCTCCTACAGTGGCTGATTGTATTATAATTCAATAAATATTTTAAAAAAAGAAAAAAAAAGTATTTTATCAGAAAACTAGTTTAATTCAATTGTGTTATTTTAAAGGAACATATTTAAAATTGAAAAAAATAAAATAAAATCGGTAGGGAAGTCATGTGAGTAGACACACCAGATTTGTTATTTAATTAATTGGTGACATTGTATAGATTGTCTTTAGTCTACAACTCTTCCATTCCAAAGTGGGAATCTTTCTTCACAACACTTTAATGTATTACCAAGTTAATTTTATTTATTTTGTTGGACTTTACTATGTTTATTTTAATAGAACATCTATTCTGTAGCATTTTTCTAAGATCCACAGTAACATGTTTGATAAATATCAATAAGTTAAGAAGTAACTGCAAGACTTGCGAGGATCATGCACAAGACCAGAACAAGGATCAAGAACGAGTCCACATGAATGAAAAAGTAGTTCCTAGATCTGTATTGATTTAATAGTTCAAATTCTGTTATAAAACTTGATTTATTGAAAGTAATGTAAAAATAAAGGAATAGCAATTTATATTCCTAACAAAAAAGATACATTTGACCACTCATTTAACTTCCAACTTTAACTACTATTGTTTGTGTGCTCATTGTAAGCTTTTATATTTATGTTTGGAATTAATGGTACTCCATGGCTTGATGCAAATTTGCTAATTAGTTGTTCTTTCTGTAATGGGCTTAGCTTTACATTTATCATACATTTGTTTAAAAACATTTCTCTTGCTTGAACATAGAGTTTATTAAAGTACTTTTATTTATTTTTTCCCTGAAGCTTTATTTGAGAAGTTTTTATATTGTTGTACATTCTATTATTTGGTACATTGGGCTTATAACATGACTTCATATTACCCTCTCAAAAGAAGATGTAATATAGACCAAAATTGTTATATTGTTCTAAGAAAGATATTTTTTGTTAGATGTTTATTGTGAAATATTATTATTTTCAATACAAAGACATGGTTATAATTACGCCATTTGAATAATTTTTACTGGAGGCAGTTCCTTTTTTTTTTTAATTTCTTATTATCTGATAAAATTTAAGGGAATTGCTGTTAATAGATTTTAAGTATATATATATATATATATATATCATTATTTAACAAAAATCTAGGCATAAAATGTACTGGGTAATAAAGCTTCTTCACATTGAGATTATTGTTGCCCACATGCAAGACTCGTACATTTTATGCCTAGATTTTTGTCAAAAAAAGTTACGTACTCCACCTACTCCACACAGACATTCGGTGTAGCTAAAAAACTAACGTATCATTCAAAAAAATATTGCGACTCATAACTAAAGTACCTTGTTACATGATTAACAAAACATTACATACAGACTTCCCTTTGTCAACACGGACAGTTACAAACTATACGGACATACTATCAGACTATGAGATCATGACTTTCCTCTAATATGACTATGAATACGAGTAGGAAAATAAAAACGTGATGGATGAGAGACCTATAACAAACCATGGTAATCGAATCAAGCTTGTGAAGAGGTACTTCTGGGTGCTATCCTCCTCCATGCCTGGCGTGTAATTTCATTATTTTCATTAGACCCTTTGATTATTGTCAACAGTTTGTCGAGAGATACAGAAGAATGTTTTAAGATTAAAAAATAATACTCTTTATGCTTATTGTAACTGATATTTAAAAAAAAATTTAATGCATTCTCAAAAAAGAATGCTCATGAATATTCATAATTATATTCGCAAATGATTCTCAGCTAATGAATAGCTCTGAATTGAGTAATTAGTTTTTCCTTTTATTGTTTCAAGTTTTCCCTTTTAAAATTATTTTTTCCTGCGTTCCACTTTAACCTTTTATTCCATTCTACAAATGTTTTTTTCTTTATTTTATTCTAATTTCAAGACAGTTCACAGAATTCATTCCCATTTACTATTGCTTTCAATCTCAAGCCCTTTAAAAAAACAAACAATTCATTTTTCATAAACGACCATTTATAAACGATGACTTTTCTAAATTTAATTTTAGGGAATCATTATACATTCTTGTATTTCCTTTTAAATTAAATAATCATATATATATATATATATATATATATATATATATATATATATATATATATATATATATATATATATATATATATATATATATATATATATATATATATATATATATATGTATATACTTAAAATCTATTAACAGCAATTCCCTTAAATTTTATTTGATAATAATAAATTTTAAAAAAAAAGGAACTGCCTCCAGTAAAAATTATTCAAATGGCGTAATAATAACCATGTCTTTGTATTGAAAATAATAATATTTCATAATAAACATCTAACAAAAAATATCTTTCTTAGAACAATATAACAATTTTGGTCTATATTACATCTTCTTTTGAGAGGGTAATATGAAGTCATGTTATAAGCCCAATGTACCAAATAATAGAAGGTGCAACAATATAAAACCTTCTCAAATAAAGTTTTAGGGAAAAAATAAATAAAGGTACTTTAATAAACTCTATGTTCAAGCAAGAGAAATGTTTTTAAACAAATGTATGATAAATGTACAGATAAGCACATTACAGCAAGAACAACTAATTAGCAAATTTGCATCAAGCCATGGAGTACCATTAATTCCAAACATAAATATAAAAGCTTACAATGAGCATACAAACAATGGAAGCTAAAGTTGAAAGTTAAATGAGTGGTCAAATGTATCTTTTTTGTTAGAAATATAAATTGCGATTCCTGTATTTTTACATTTCTTTCAATAAATCAAGTTTAATAACAGAATTTGAACTATTAAATCAATACAGAGCTACGATTTCGAGTTCAAACCTATATTATCGCATCCAACCTATACATTTCGCAACATATTTTTCTTTATATTTTGAACAATAGGTCTATCATATCTGGGATTGTATTTACAATTCGATAGATGCAATACCATCCTATTACACGAGGGAAAGGATTAGTAGGAGTAGAAACTGAAACTACGTTGAGATAAGAAAATATATTTAACACTAAAATATGGAGTAAGGATGGATGTCAGAAAACCTTTAAACGTGTATAACTGGTGTGCGATTTGTAGTTAAACTAAATATGAAGGAAATTTTCATTATTTTGCAAGTAATAAAAAACAATAAATAATGTCTGATTACTAACGAAATTCGAAACATTTTTCCCATCGGTCTGCACCTGTGCATTCACTAGCACAATAGTTTTCCTATCGTATATAACAATATAATTTTGCTTGTGTACAAAACGTCATATACACCATCAAAAACAACAATCAATTATAGTGATGCCCGAAAAAAATAGGGTGTATAAAAAAAAACCGTTTTATCAAATTCAAGATTTCAAAGAACTGTAAATATTTTAATCCTACTTAATGCTTATCAACAGGATTCTAGGATAATTCCTTTAGAGCATTCTGTAAGCCTTTTTAATCCCATTCGAGTTTTTCAAGAAAAGCCTGAGTTAATTTATTTGTTTCAAAGAAGAAACATGATACTGTCCTCCAAAATTCTCGTTATTTTAAAGCATTACTGGAAAAAAAATAATAACAGCAAGTGACTCGTGAAATTATTAAATATGAAGGAAAATGTGTCCTTGACTAGCGCACTAAGCGACGTTGGTTTGAAAAATTTAGCAGTCGAGATAACGTCGTATCTTCACTACTAAATTTTTCAAACAAACGCCGCGCAATGCGCTGGTCAAGGGCATCTTCCTCTTTATATTTAATAATTTCACGAGTTGCTTTAGCGGCTGTGAAATTTTGTTTACAATAATGCCTTAAAATTACTAGAATTTCGTAGGACACTGTCATGTTTCTTTTTTGAAACGAATAACTAAACTGAGGCTTTTTTTTAAGAACCCAAATGGGATTAAACAAGCTTAGAGAATGCTTTAAAGGGTTTATTAAGTATTAAATAGGATTAAAATATTTACAGTCCTTTGAAATCTTTAAAAGCAAGAAGAGCTCCGGGCGACCATTAATGGATATTGATGAGGTTTGGTAGAAACCTGTTGAGTCAAATCCGTCCATACGGAGTGTGGTATGTCGAAAGATAGTGTTGGTCGCCATCTACTCTTCATGGGGAAGGGGAAAAAGAGCAGTAGGCTGGTCCCTCACGAACTTACTTCTCAGCAATAAGCCAAAACGTTAGAAATTTGTGAAAATTTACTGAAAATTCTTTCCTGAAAACCCCTGCCTCATCCACAATATATGAG